AAAAAAATATCACCCTAACTTGGATCTTTTGGGCCTGACTCTGCATTGAAGATGGTCGAGGGACCACCTAGTATGCCCAAACTTTGACATCAATGGTGACACTTAGGATGTAAATATATATGCTTATGTAAAGACTTCTTTTTTTTTTTCTCCTAATAGTAATTCGGAACTTTTTCATTAATCGTCTCAAAATTTACACAAAAATAATTGTATCATTTTACATGTTTAAGATTTTTTTATACTTAATCAATCTAGGACCAAATGAGATGGGAAAAATATACAAAAGAGACCATTTACCTTTGATGCAAGATAGTAACAATTAATTTTAATCGTTGGATGTAAAATTGGGGGGCTATATTTATTTTAGTGACCAAACTCAAAGTTAAAAAAAAAAAATTTCGAACTTCATGACACACCTAACCTATCCGATTTCACATTGGATGGTTACAAGTAAGGGTTTGTATACAATGAGACCATTTATCTTTTGTACAAGGAAAAAGTTTATATAAGGATGCTACCTTATAATATAGAACTACAGATGCCCCTTAAAAATCTATAGAAAAAGGTAGTTTTAATGTTGATCATCTTGACATCGAGATGTATGACTATGAAAAATACTAAGATTTTAGGTCTAAAAAATAATGCATTTTACAACATATTATCTACACCGTCCATTTTCAAGATTTTCATATGTTTATAGATCTACTTGATTTTAATCATTTTTGAAATTTAAAATTTTATAATTAGATATAAAAATAGATTTTGAGATAATCCTAAGATCATTTTACATCAAAATTATATACCATGATAAAATTTGAAGGTGCACCTTACCTCACAGATGCATCTGTATATCAACTGCACCTTTTGTATAAATACGTCACAATTACTTATAACTTCCGATATGATTGTGAACTCTTTACACCAAAGATAAATGGTCTCATTGTATATAATCCTAATAATAAGCATGCGCATGTAAAGAACTATCATAACTTATAAAAATAGTTTAAAATGGGTTGGGTCAAGTCTGGGTTGACCCCAGCCTAGTGCTGATGCGACTAGCTTGCTCAGAATGTGGACCTGGACCTGGGTGGGGTCCAAGTAAGTTGGACCAGACTTGACCCAGACTTGGGTCGACCCGGACCATACCGAGACCTGGGTCTAGAAACTAAAAAATAAAAAAATCTATTTTATATAATATTTAGTATATATGTTTTACATACTTTCTATACTTATTCTTGGTCAGGTCGACCCCGACTCGAACCCAACTCTGATCGAGTCCTATTCATTTGGATCCAAACCCGACCTGCCAGGTCCAAAACCCTGACCCGGACCCGGTTGGCCTAGACATGATTGCCACCCTTCTTTTTAATGTTAAATTCAAGTCCTTAATTATTCTTACTATTATGTTAGAGAAAAAGGAAAAACACTTCAGGTCAGCAATATTTTGCAAGACCACGATATCTAACAAATGGAGCGAGATGCATAAGGGGCAGTTGTAGCAACACTCGTCAACTCATTTTAACCATGTTTAGAAACAGCGAGGAACTGAAAAAATCCATGGCCTTTTTTTTTGCCTCCATGATCCTTGTCATTATTATCATCATCTGAGCTTCATGCCAACATTGGGTTTGGCTATATGAGCCGTGTTCTATTATTTAACTCTGTTATTTAACTACTTCCAACGATATTTTTTGGGTCTTCCATTTGTCCGTTTAGAGCATTATGTTTGAACCAAGTCACCGCTTGTCCCCTCCTAACCAAAGATAACTACGACTGTGATTTAGAATGTCCATTCCAATGGGCGGTAGTTCGATTGTTTTTAGAGGTTTTTAGGAGATCCAAACACAATTTTCACATATGTAAATCAATTTGCAGGTGTTCTTGAAAGAAATACCCATGTAATCTGATGTCGGGGAAATATAATTTTTTTCTTTTTTACTAATAATCACCCCTTATAATTTTGGCAACAACATTACTCACAGGTAGTCTTATTACAAACAATAGAAATTCCAAAAATAAATAACACATTAATAAAATAAATCTCAACTACTTGATGTCATTCATACAACATAATACTGTGCTTGAGAATATAAAATAAAAGAACAAACAATTAAAAGAAAAGATGCTGGATATTATATCAACCGGGCTTTTTATACTCCACACCGAGTCACCACATCCAATGGCGCGGGATCAGCGGTCCAGCTTCAATCTCGAATCGGGAAACTAATTTCGGCCAAGCTAGGTAACCACCTTTAAATCTTTACAAAACCCTAACTCCAAAATAATTAGGCTCAAACCCAATTTTTTTTTCCAACCCTTAGATTAGATCAAGAGAGAGAGAGAGAGAGAAAAAAATAAGAAAGTAGAGAGAGGGGCGTGGCCCTTAAGGAAGAGAGAGAGAGTTTATGGGAGAGAGAGGTGTGTTGAGATGGGGGAAGAGCACCCCTATTTATAGTGAAATTTAGGTCTAGAGTTTATTTAGGGTTTCCCATAATTTGTCTCTTTCTTGAGATTGAATATGGATCGTTGATCAAAATGACTTGTGGGGTGAGAGATTTGAGCCATCCATTCCATAGATGGGCCATTAATATTATGGAAGGTGCATGAACCATTATCTCCATTTTTTTAAACTATTTTCCCATCAATATATTTAAATAAATTAAATCCATTAAAGATATTGTGCATACTATAAATTGTATATTCCATTTCATATTTTCCATAAGAATATTTCAATAATATCAAGTCAAGATATTCCTTCAATAATCAAGATAAGATATGGTCAAAATTTCCTAGTCAATATTTGACCACATGCTACAAGATGTAGTTACCATATTTAACAAACTTGAAGACAAAGCAACAAGATAAGGTATCCAAGGGTGGGGCGTGCCACCCATGTATGGCATGTGGGCCCCACCTAATACCCACATGGTGGGCCCATGTGCACTATGGGCATCCCATGTAATTTTTTAATAAATATTTTAAAATTTAAACAAAATAATTTTAAAATATTATAATTTTGTAAATTAATAACTACATTTTTATAAGTCCAAAAATAAGAAATAAAATATCAAGTGACTTAAAAAAATTCAAATAATAAAATTAAAATAATTTAATAATAAAATCAATACAATTAAATTAATATGATGAGAAGTGGATCCATATAGTTCAGGAATTCAATCAACGATCACGGGATACTCCACCTTTAATTGTAGACTACTGACCATACTTGCTTTATCGAACCAACCAAATATTTTTCATGACCCACAGTTCAAGCAGGTGCTCATTAGCGGGTCACCAAAGTCTGGTCGATGAGCCAAGGAGTCTCAATCTCAGTCTATGAATTACATATCCTCCCCTAGAGACAAGTCAATGTCACCACGACCTGATGCGACTACAGCTCTATGGCGCATATGGGTATCTCTCGCACATGCATATGCTTCACCCAAAGGTATATATCTAGCTTTTCCGAACGATCTATCTATATGCGTGTCGTGTGATGAAACATGGATGAGGTTTTAGCCCCTGTCTCTGTAGGCCTACCATCACACACAAGGGTCACACAGTCTCTTGGCTCACTCATCTAAGCATAAGCTCTGACCTCATCAAGGGCTAACCCAAAAACCCTTTTCGGTTTATTTTTTTTGCCCAGGTACCATGGGTTTTTCAACCGACTGGCCTAGATCGCCAAGCACAGTTCGTTATCCGCAAATATCATTTGCTTAGTATGGTCTTCGAGGAACCACACTCCAACTGAGTTTATGTTCCACTTTAGTAAATATTTTTCATTACACACTCATAAGGCATTTAAAGGCCACATAAACCCAACATCTCTTACTTGCCCTTGAAGGCCTTACATTCTCTCTTCCTCACTTCTCTCATCTCCATCTCTCTCACATGTCTTACAAAAACATTTAGGACAACTCTCTTTGTCAGAGGGTCTGCAATCATCAAATCTGTAGATATGTAGCTGATCTCGATCTCTTTCAGTCTCGCCTCATTTCTCAGGTGATAGAAGTATAGCTTGATATGCTTGGAATTCTTGTGAAACCGAGGTTCCTTAGAGACGTGCTGTCGTAGAAAATTCGCACCACCTCACAACTTACATGATGGAAATTAAGTTGATTAATAAACTTCTTAATCCACACAGCCTGCTTGGTTGTCAGACCCACATACCCGGATTCCATGGTGGATAAAGCCACAATATCTTGTTTCTTTGAGTTCTAAGAAACCGCACTCCCTCCAAGCATAAACACATACCCAGATGTAGACTTCTCATCATCAGGATCCGCGAGATAGCTTGCATCTGAATATCCTTCTATTGCGATTTCAATTTCCACCTTATACGTGAGGGCATAGTTCATGGTCCCCTTTAAATATCTGAGAATTCTTTTTACTGCTTTCCAATACTTCGCTTCTGGGTTGCTTTGGAAACGCCTCACCAGACTCCTGACAAATGACAAATTAGGCCTTGTTCCCATCATGGTGTATATAAGGGACCCAACTGCGCTCCTGTATGGCACTCTCTCCATGGCTCTTATATTCATGTTTTAGGTAGGACACAATTTATTACTAAGCTTCGTATTTTTGTCAATTAGGGTTGACATGAGTTTACAAATACTCATATCAAACTTTTCCAGTATCCTCTTACAGTAGGTTGCCTGGGAAAGTTGGATATTCTTCTCTCTCTTGTTTCTTATTATTTTGATGCCAAACAGTTCTAAAGTGCCTATGACTCCTCAATCCATGAAAATCACAAGTTTGAGGTGCAACTGAAGGGCTTAAGGCACAACTTTGGCTATATCGAATTCAATGCAAAAAGAAGTTGAACTATTTTGCAGCCGTATACAAAAGACACTCGTGGAGGAAGCAAGCTCCCTGTTGACATCTCCATAGATACAGAAAGACTACTCGTGCTTTATGATACTTTCAAGTTAAAAATAAAAATAAATAAAACAATAGAAATTTTATAGAATGGGATCTGTATGGGATCATCAATTCACATTTGCAGTTTAACAAACCAAATCACTCAGTTCTCTATCAGAATCCAGCGAGCGATTTTATGAATATCGGGTCAACTCCTTATTTTGTAAACAAATTGGCTTGGGTAACAAATGAATTTGATCTGAATCGGCAATTCCTTATTCGGTTTAACACACAGTATAGCAACATTTCATGCCTGTATTTAAGACCAACTATCCATATTCCATACCTCTTCATATTTTACACTACAGGCCAAAACCAACAATCTATACCCCTTTCATATTTTACAATCATGGCTATGTTTGAAAACAATAATCGATACACCTTTGTACTTTTTAGCTAGACTCGATTTGTTATACTTCTCTGTTCTACTTCTAGTGAGATCTATTTTTCCGACCTATTTTTAAACACTAGAGTTTCCTCTCTTTTTTTCCATTTTTTTTTTTTTGACTTTTGTTTACCTATCATTGAATTCAAGTTCAAATTTCATAATGCCTTTATATGAAAAAGAAAGAAATTAATTGGTAAGGCAAGGGTCCAGTCAAAAAAGTGTGGACCCACCTCATTCTTCCAAATTTTAGAAAGGAAAGGTATATAATAAGACCATTCATTTTTCCTATAAGGAAGTCACAATCATTGATTGCTTGATATAAAATGAAGTGGTTATTGGTGTGTTATTGACTAGGGACAAGGTCCAAAATTAAATTTATTGTACTATATGACATACTTTAAGCAATTGAATTTTACACGTGATGGCCAAGGATGATTGTAACCTCCTTGTAGTAAAATTGAATGGTTTCATGGTACATAATCCCTTTTAAAAAATGATTTAAAGCATTTTAAGTGCTCCAAATCCATTTTCATTCAGCATGAATGCAATAATTTCGAATATTTTATTTTGTTAAAAATAAAAAACTATCTCAAAAGCATGATTTTAAATCCCACAAAGTAATCAATACAATGGTTAGAAGCAAATCCTCTTCCTACAATTAGGAGGAGGGCGCAATGGAGCATTCCATAACCCCAATTCCCACACAATCTCCTCAATCAACTCCCCAAATATTTTCCCTTCCAAAACAGCACCAACTCTCCCCTTCTCCCACCCCTCTTCCCAAACATCATTTTCCCAAGTTTCTAGGGATTGCAGCTTTAAATTGCTCGAATCGAGTTTTTTCACAGTCAATCGTAGAATCCCAGCCGTTGGATTATTTATGTGGCATGATATAGGGGGTGAAGATGCAAAACTCAATTTGTTAATGAGGAATTCCTTGGTGTGTACCCCTTGAAAATCCTTGTCATTAACATCTGCAATATATCATAAGGATGGTAAACTATAAGGCTATATACATGCAATATATCAATGTGGTTTCTATAAAGTTGCAACTTTAAACAATCCAATTAAGGAGCAGCTCCAAATTTTATCATGACATGTAATTTTGGTGTAAAAAATTCTATGGATTATCTCAAAATCTATTTTCATATCTAATTATAAAATTTTAAACTCAAAAATTGGTTAAAATCAAGTAGATCTATAAACATGTGAAAATCTTAAAAATTGACGGTCTAGATAATGTGTTGCAAGGTGCACTGTTTCTGGGACAAAATCTTCTTCTTTTTTTTTTTTTTTCTATATTCATACATCTCGCTGTCGAGATGATCAATTAGAGTGTTTTTCAACATTAAAACAACCTTTTCCAATGGTTTTTTGAGGTGCATTTGTATTTCTACATTTTAAGGTTACAACCTTATATAAACTTTTTCCTTTAATATAAGAAGGTCATAATTGTTTATAGTGATCAGATGTGAAATCTAACAGTTTAAAAAAATTATTTTGAAATTTTGAGCCAAATCAAAGGTACACCCTTAACTACTGAATTTTACATCTAACGGCTAAAAACAACTATGACCTTCTTGTACCAAAAATAAATTATCTTACATCAATTTTCTCATTATTTTATATGCAACTATGAGATCTATTGGTAAGTTTTAAGAAGTTTGGAGTAAATCAATGTAAGGGGCACTTGGAGGACATTTAATTAAAGGAAACTATGTATATTTTGAGAATACGAAAAGACAAGTAATTATTCAAGGAAAAAGTATATATGAGGCTCTAAACAATCAAATTAGAGCACACTTCAAAAATTTCACTAGAAGAGGTTGTTTTGATGCCCAAATATCTTCAAATTGATGATCTCGACATCAAGATACATAGACATGAGAAAAAAATAGATTTCAAGTTTTGAAAAAAGTGCATATTATAATACATTTTTGGATCGTCAATTTTCAAGATTTTCAAGTTTTCATATATAAGCTCAATCTACATTATTTTTTAAGCCTAAAATTTTATAATTAGAGATGAAAATATATTTTAATGCCATCACAAAGATTTTCAATATTGAAACCATATTTCTCGACATTATTTGAAGGTGCACTTTATTTTGATTATTTAAAACCTTGGCTCTATACAAATCACACCCATTATTCATTTGACTTAACAGACTAAATGCTGGAAAAGTGTGACCCTAAAATTTGCTGACATTTTGTTTTGTACTTACAATGCAACATTGTATACGCCAAATGTGGAACACCTATGGAACATGTACCCAACCATGGTTATTCTCCATTTTTAGGAATTGACTTTAATAAATGTCCCTGTAGTGGACCATAGATCATTTATCAAGGTTTGACTGAAATAATTCATGATAAAAAGGTACACTCATTAAATGACAAACTATACCCCTGACCAATATTTGACCATCAATAGTAAACCCAATTGAGCAATAACATTCATTTAGCCCCCAAAAAGGTTAATCCCCATTAAATGCTTAAGGATATTAAACATATATATAATTTAAACACTTTAGGATATTCCCAACTCCCAACACTGACCAA